GCGCACGCGCCACCTCCACCTCAGGGGCCACCGATGCCCTCTGCGAACCGAACCCCCGCCCCCCAGGGACAGCAGGGGAGAAAGGGACACCGAGCCTGCAGCGAGGCCTGGACGCAGGAGGGAGCCTCAGAGGAGGAGGGTGGGGAGCGGGCAGGTGCAGGGGACAAGGGGGACCCCTTCATCCCCCCCACTGCGCTCTGCGGTGGGGAGAAAAGGACACTGTGTGGCATTGTGGAAGTGTCTCGAGGACTGGCTGGGTGTCACTGTGGGGAGGAGGGGGTTGCTCTCAGCTCAGCCCACCGACGCCCACCCCGGGGTGTCGGGTAACAGTGCATGCTTGTCCTTCCGACCGTTCTTCCTCGAGTCCAGACTTTGAGTGACACGGGGATTGGGGTTAATGGACCTATTTCTGGCAAGGTACTGATATGCTTCCTAGGATCCCCCCCCCCCGGCCCCGCTCCCCCCTCCTGAGGCCTCAATCGCCCCTCGGGAACATGAGCCGTCGAATGGGCTCCTTCCCCGGCGGGGCTGCAGCACACGCCTGTGCCTGGCACAGAGCCGGCCTTCAAAGCGGAGCAGTGCAATGCGCCCTTTGCCCTGCCACCACCGGGGCGGCCGTAGTCATGTGACTTAGCACAGCACGTGGGGTTGGGTACAGGGGGACACAGCTGAGCTCTCACAGAGGAAGAGTTGGGGGTGGGGTGGGGGCTGGACGCCTGTACCAGGTCCTCTGTCCATCGCCACCCACCAGCTCAGAGCTCCGCCCTTCTCCCCGTGAGGAGACCATGTGGTGTGGTCTGCGTGGCGTCCAGGCTAAACTGGTAGAGGGATTGGTGGTGATGATGACTCCCCCCCTCCGGCAATGGGGGGGTCAGTCCCTCTGGAAACCCGTCTCCTCTCCTCCCAACATGCGGATGGGAGGAACGGGGCTCCCAGAAGCTCAGGACTCCACTGTGGGCATGTGGTCCCCCGATGTTCCCGGATTGAAGTCATAAGCCCTAGTACCTCGGACAGGAAGGATCCTTGAAGAGAGGGTCTCTAAAGAAGCCATTGAGTTCTGTGATGTCTTGGGGCGGCCCTGATACCTTGACCAGAGCTCTTATATGAGGAGCAGGTCTGGACGAGTAGACACGGTGGCGGGGGGGGGGGGGGGTATGTGAGATTTTCTCCCATCCAGCGTGTGAGCCTCACCCTCACCAGGCCCCCAGTGTTTGACGATAACTATAGGTACGGCACAATCTTGATGTTGGAAATTTCCTAGGCCTGTCTCCAATCATGGAGTTGGCAGAGCGAGAGTCCCCCTCACCCCCCTCCCCCCCGTCCTCCTGTCTCTCGGGAGTGACGTCTCCACTGGTGCCCTGGACCTCCTTTGGCACTGAAATGGACCAGGCCTGAGTCACAAAGGTGGTCATCTCCACCCCAAAGCTACTGCCCAACTCCCAGGAGCAAATGCCATGTGCAGTGTTCCCGAAGCAGCCGCAGGAAGAGAGCCAGACCCGCCCACTACGCGCATGGCAGAGTGTCAGCCAGATCCTCCCTCCTCTCTTTATTAAAGCTTAATTGCTTGTTAAAACCAGGCCTTTAGGCCTTACAGGCTGGAAAATAGTTGAGCCCTGCTTTCTGATCTTCTAAGCTAGGGCTCGCGTTGGGCAGTTGAGTGTCATTTTTCCAAGACCTGTAATGAGACAGCGGCCCCCTCTTTATAACCAGTCAGCCCCGGGGACAGAAGTGTACACAGAGTCGCTTTAAACTCACCCCTGCCTCTCGGGGTTGATTGGTTAACACTGCAGGTTCCCTGCTGTGGTAAAATGACTCTGTTTTGTTTTTAGTCAAGACACAGGTCCTCATTTTCATCCCTCGTGTACACAACCTTAAAAAGAAAAAAAAAAAAGCTATGTAGATGCTAAAAAAAAAAAGGGGGGGGGGGGATTCTGGTATTTGCTAAGCTTTCTTTTTATTACTTCAAGTCGTCTCCCTTTCTGTAGACATAATGCACTTGGCAAGATTGCTCTGTCTAAGCCGGGCACTGGTGGCTCACGCTTGTCATCCTAGCTGCTCAGGAGGCTGAGATCTGAGCCTCGTGGATCAAAGCCAGCCCAGGCAGGAAACTCCATGAGATTCTTATCGCCAATAAATTACTAGACAAACAATTAAAAATTTCATAAAGCCAGAAGTGGAGCTATGAGCGCTAGCCTTGAGCAAAACAGCTCAGGCATAGCACACAGGCTCTGATTTCAAGCCCCAGGACTCACGTACGTACACACACACACACACACACACACACACACACACACACACACACACACACACACACACACACACACACGTCTAAGCTCTGGTGGAGCTGCTAGGAGACTTACGTTCCTCCAGTGCAGAGGTCACATCCAGACTCTCAACCCTGCGCGACCTTGGGCAGGTCACGAGCTGACCCTGTTACATTTCTCTCTTCTTGTAAGGAGAATGATGGCAGCACCTTCCTCCCAGGGTTGCTCCAGAGAAACATGGAAAGATACCATGGAAGGCAAGCTGGGGCCTGGAGTATGGTCACAAATACCGTTTGCCATCACAAGTGGAACGTCTAAAATTCAGAAAGCCGATGTTTTTTAATGTACCCTGTCCATGACGACATCACTTGCAAGCATTCCAAGAGCCATACAACTCCCACATGGGAGACACTTTCAGTCCCAATTACTTTGGAGGACAAATCCTATAAAAATACTAAATAATAGTATTAATCCACCTAGGTGTGGATTAAGTATTCGGAAGGCCAGGTGGGAGGACCCTGGGTGGCCAGTCATGCGCTTTAATGTTACTTTAATGCTCCTAATGGCCTCTTTGGGACAAGCTCAGAAGAGCTGCTGTGTGTGTGGCAGAGGAGCCGCTCAGGGTCAGGTGTCGAAGTTATAGCACAGCAGCCTCACCTAGCCAGGCCCTCAAGACTAGTTCCTCTAATTAACGGTATTTCCACATCCCGAGATCGATTTGCAGACTTAGCGGGAGAGGATTTGGAGTCCCAAGGCTATGTGTGGGTCTATGATAATCCTTTCTCATCCTTTCAAAGCCATTGGGGTGAGGGGGGTGTATCAGTCAGCTCTTGCCACAGTAGTAATGCTGTGTAACAAATTACCCCTTGTTACTGAAACAACCAGCCTATCTTGTCCTGAGAGCGAGCCAGAGGCTGTTGGCTGATCTAGGGGGGACCCAGGTCTACTGCACCCCGGCAGGTCTCGGGCTCATGTGCTAATTGCCACACAGAACCCCACGAAATGGTGCAGAAGCTGACTTTGAGCTTCTGTGGAAGTCCCACTGGCTGCAGCAGGTGGAGCGGGCAAACCGGGCTGAGGGCCGGGAAAGGGCACCGCAAAGAACCAGGCCCCCGAGCGAGTCCCCTCCATTCCCCACTTGCCCTCTCCCGCCTGGTCATGCCCCTGTGGGCCCCGGCGGGGTTTTCCTGGCGTCTGTTCCTTCTGTGGGTCTGGGTGGCATTAAGATTCCGGGAACGTTCTGCGGGAGCCGGCCAGCGCCTGGCGAATTCCCCTCGGGTCTGCAGAAGCCGTCTCTCTGACAGACAGGAATTTACTCTACTGTAAACCAGAGGGCCCCAAGTTGGATGGACACGATGGATTCACCAGACAGCATCGCTGACCCAGTTCCGCTTCGTTAGCCTTGCCAATTAAGGAGGATGTTACTGCGAGTGAGACTTACAGATACACGCGCGTGTGCGCTGCGCTACCTGGAATCCCTGGGACTGAGCCTCTTTAGGGAGAGTCTCACATTTCCAACCAGCACCAAGGGAAGAAAACAAAACCAGGTTGGCAGTGTTAATGGCATGGCCACTGTGAGCGCTTTATCCTCTTCCTGGCTAGTTAATTAAGATGCTAAATAGGTAGCATGTGCGCGTCCGCCTTCCAGAAGCTCTTTAATAAGCCTTGGGCCCTCACCATGAGCCAGCAGGGTGTCTGATCTTGGAACACAGATGAAGAGTGGGGACTTCTCTGATGGACGGAATGAGCAGGGTTCCCCCCCCCCACAGGGATTCACACGACCTTCCAAGAAGTGTTCCCCCCACCAAGGTGAAGTTGTTTTTAGGGGTTCAGGATGGATTCCCCCCCACTTCTTGGCCTTGGAGTTCTGAGCAGTGAGGCATAAGCCCTACACAATAGCCAAATGGGCTGTGAAGTATGGCTTAATTAATCCGGGCACGCTCCCAAGCCCGGTGCAATGCTTCGCCAGGATTTGGCTTCGAGAAGGAGGCCGCCTCTGAGGCGGAGATGGATGGAGCCTCTTGTTTTCTAGTCAGCATGGACACGGCGAGATCGAGCGGACAGACACACAGGCACAGACTGACCCGCGCGCGCTGCACAGCGTCCGGGAGGCCGGCGCTGGTCGCTCTGATGGGGATCCCAGAAATACAGGGTGGAGACTCCTCGCCTGGGAAGGGGCGTGAGCTAGTGAGGGGAGCTCTGTAGAGGATGGATAAAATAGTGACCCCCCCCCCCCCGCCTCCGCCTGTGTCTCAATGGACCTTGGGTTCTAGCTGGCACCGTGGTGCGCGCCTGTGACCCCAGCTACCTAGGAGTCCGAGTTCTGGAGGACTGGACTCCAAGGGCAGCTTGGAACAAAACATTTCCCAAGACGCCGATTATGAGGTGGTGTACCTGTTAGCTCAGCAATGAGCAAAGTGCAAATTAATTAGCCGGCCCCAGCCAGCTCCGTCTTAAAAGCCCATTCTGGGGAGAATAAAAAGTAAAGTCCCAAAGAATGAAAATGAGGAGATCATTCTCAAGCTTAAGGTTGTACCCAGAATCCTCTGCCCCAGACGATTCAGTTCAGACAAATATAGTTCGCACAAAAGCCACCTTCACCAAGCGGGTTTCCTCTTTCCCTTGGAAACCACTCCGTGAGCACCCTCCCCTCCCCCTCCCCCCCCCCCCCCCCCCCCGCCTTCCCCTCCTCCATCCCTCCCTGGCCCCTTCCTCAATCCCAAGAGCTCCTGCGTGATGGCCCAGCCGTGGGCGCAGGGCGGCCAGCGGGCTTTTGTGGAGAGCGAATGGGCAGCACGCTGGCCCGCCGGAATGCGCCGCTTGCACGGGCCCCGAGCTCTCTCTCTCTCCCTTCTGGCTGCCTTCATTCTGTGCAGCAGCAGCCCCAGGCCTGACCGCCGCCCGGCTCTGGTGGGGCCTCTGCGCTCTGGCAGGCGCCCTTGTCCACCTGCGTGTGCTGCGTGCACACACACGCCCGTGTACGTGGTGACGGTCCTTCTCCCTTCTCTTCGGCACTTCCTTGTTTTGTGGGATGTCCCTTAAGGAGAAAACTTGGCCCTTCATCCTGTGCCTGGAGGGAGGGGAAGGGGGGGGTAGTGTACAGGGCGTGGGGGGGTGGACAGGGAGGGGGCGGGGGAGCACATCCTGGCATCCTTGAAGAATGGGGGAGACAGTTGGCTGCCCCCCACCCTGCCATTCTCAGTGCTGTCTCTCTTCTTCCCGCAGGACCCGCACCCGAGCCCGCCGATCGCGCTGGGGACCCAGGTGAGTGAGTACCGCCGTGGTCTTGGTCATTCTCCCCGCCTTGATGATCTGGGACCAGAGATCCCGGGCACTTGTGTCCCCTGTGGGCCGCGGGGCACACCCGCGCTGGCTAACCATATACACGTGCGTAACCGCACACACCCTTGCACGCACTTGTTGGGCATTGCGTGTGCTCAGGGCTCTCCGTGTGCCCCTACCTGAGACAAGATCCCCGTGCTCCTCTGTCGAGTTCTCCTCTGCTGTTTGTTCCCGCCCAGCAATGGCGAGGAGCTCAGTGCAGAGGGGGAGGGGAGGCGGGGGTGGGGAGCGTGGGAGATATTTTTCTGGGGTGTTTGCTTCTTGCAACCCCAGCGGCTGGGCTGGGACACAGCGGACTTTCCATGCGGGCACGCGAGGCCCCCTGGAAGAGCCTGGACGGCAACTGCGGTGCGGTGCAGCACGGATGACCAGAGAGCCGAGTACGGGAGGGCAGCGCCCTTCTGTCCTCTTCCTGCTCTCCTGGGGGCCAGGGCAGGCCTGCGCCAGCAGTGCTGATCAGCACGCCATGGAGCGCGTGGACCCTGGCTCTGCGTCTTCTCCCCCCTCTCCTCGGACAGTCATAGGGGATAATCGGGGTCAGCTTCGTGAACCACTGTGCGATGGGGGGGAGGCGTCTCTGCTCATGTCATCGCTGTAGCTCAGTCAGGAAGCGGAAGGAAGGAAGGAAGGAAGGAAGGCAGGCAGGCAGCCCCTCCCCACCCCCGTCCACAGAGCCCCACAGCAAACACCGCATAATCAGGGCCCGCTCCCTGGATGTGAACGTACCAAGGCTGTCCCGTGTATTTGAGTACTGCAGCTTCGGGGTGGGGGGGGTCCTCTGGAGCCATCATCAAAGACAACTTTCCTCACTCGCTCCCCCTTCTCTTCCTCTGGATCCCTCCTTAGATCTTCCTAAGAGCCCAAACCGATGCTGCTTCAGGATGGCCCAGAATATCAGCAAAGCCAAAACTAGGGGACTAAGAGGGGCAGCAGATCTTCGGGGCTCCCTGTGCATGCCTATCCATCTTCCTGTCTCCCAGGACCCACACAGGCCCCACCCCTGGCTCCAGGGAGGGGTAGGCCCCAGGCTGGCAGGGCGTTTTGGAGAGGGTGACACCAACAGGGAAGAGGCCCCGCTTCTCCTGCCTGCCTGGCCATCCTCGGGACTGCTGCGTCCCCTCTCCCATCACACCCACGTCCTGTTTGCACACAGGTCTCCATCTGTTCCGTGAACTCTCCTAAGACATTCACTTGAACACTTAGACCACCCTAGCCCATGGTCCTCAGCCAACCTAGGGGTGGTTTTGATCCCCAGAGGACATTTGGAAACATCTTAAAGACATCTGGGATCATGGGGTCTAGTCAGAGGAAGTGGTTATTCCTAGAGACCAAGGGGGCAACTCAATATCCTGGGGATGTGTGAGGAGCCCCCCCTCCCCCATAGGAATTAATTATTCAGCTCAGAGTGCTGGTGGTGGCCAAGTTGAAAACACTGTCTCAAGCATTCCTATTGGTCAGTTATGGTTGGGTGGGTGGACGGATGGGTTGATGGATGGGTCAGTAGAAAGATGGATGGATGGACATATAGTTGAAAACAGTCCTATGTAATCTTATAGTAAGATATGCTTGGTGAGCGGATGGATGAAGGGATAGGCAGATGGACAGATGAATAGATGTGCATGTTCACACAGACGTGTATTTCCAGTGCATTCAAATACTAATCTGCGAAAACAAGACGAAGCTTTTCATTTGGGTGCCCCTCAGAATGCTCCACAGGTCTCCCCGACGGTTCCTGTGCCCCACTTTAGGGTCTGGCGCATCTGCCCGTCGTGAGCGGGTCTGGAGGATGACAGCTCTGGTCTTGCTCTGCCTGTCCCCTGGGCTAGGAAGGAATATCGCGAGGCTCAGGAGAACCATGAACTCTCAGCTGCGGCCACAGGTCCGGATGCTCCGTCCTCTGGGGGTGGAGCAGCTGCCCCTGGACGGTTCTCTGCATAGACACAAGGGTATCCTTCACCCTTTCTCCAGGGGAAAGAGTCGTGTGTCACGTCCGTGGCTCATGGTTGACAGCTTATCCTGCCTGGTGGCCGCGCGGCCAGCGGGGGATACAGGCTGCTTCGTGTGTTGGTGCTCCATCTCTGGGCAAATGACTCATTGTGTCTGCAAGCACGCCCCCATCGGAGTTATCAGCAGCACGTGGCCTCTTCCCTGTGCTCTGTTCCTGGGTGAAGGAGATGTTGGAAGCCAACCAGAGGCAAATGTCTTTCGTAAGGACCGGCATGACACCGCAGCCCAGTCTGACCTCACTGCAGTCAGACAAGGGGACAAGGAAAGGTGTCCTAATAGGAAGTGGTGCCCCGACGGTCACCCATATGCCATGAGCAGGACGGCAGACGTGGCTGTGCGGCGGTCACAGGTCATGCGAGCTCCAGCGCAGCCCTGGCCTGACCTCATGTCCTGCCCTGGAGCCCAGGGCCGCAGGTGAGCCTGTGGGGCCTTCGTGAGCCATGTGTTCACATCATGAACCAGTAGCCTAGGCAAGAACCCAGGCCACGCGGCCACGCAGGACCTTCTTCCCACGGGCGATGGGTTGACTGCCTGCTCAGGACTCCCTCTGGCAGAGCTCCACGTCTGTTGGCATCAGCAGAGCTCGGCTTCGTGGCTGCCTTCATGGGAAGAGGAAGTGGGGAAGGTTGAGGTCTCCAGTTCAGCTTTCTCCGTAGCTGGGGTGTCCCAGGGAAGCCCCCGATGCTGCTGCGACCTCTTGTCTGTCTCCACATGGTGGTTTACCCAGTAACTAGGTGACCTAAAAATGGAGAAGGAAACAAGCCAGTCCGATTGTCGTCTGGATTTGGTTTGTGGCCTGGTGTCGCTATCAGTATTCATCCTTACTAACAAGTTTTGCTTGGCAACAGCTGGCTTTTCCCATGGAGCCCGCAAATGCCACAGGTCCAGAAGTGTCTCAGGATACCCAGTTTCCAGGAAGCTGAGGGTCAGAGAGGTTGGAGAACCTGCCCCAGGTCACACAGGAGGCCGGGAGCATTGGTGGGCGCACACACCACAGGGGCACGTGACATCAGGATCTCCCTTCCCCACCTCTTTTATGCTTTGCCAGGAAATAAAATTACCTCGATGAATAGAACGACTCACTCATGTCCAGGTGAGGCTAGAGGGACTGGTTTGATATTTGCTAGGTATACAAGGACCAAGCAGCAAGAGAAAGCTGTGCTCAAGAATCCACAGATGTACTTAGGTAAATTAGTAGAGATGAGATAGAAGGATGAATGAGTAGATGGATGGGAGGTAAGAAAGGAAGGAAGAAAGGAAGGAAGGAAGGAAGGAAGGAAGGAAGGAAGGAAGGAAGGAAGGAAGGGAAGGGATTTCAATGGATAAGGGGACAGACATGTGGGTGGGTGGATGGATGGATAGAGGATGACTAGGTAGGTAGGTAGGAAGATGAATGGATGGATGGATGGATGGATGGATGGCGGATGGATGGATGGATGGACAGATGGATGGCGGATGGATGGATGATTACAGAATAATAGCAAAACTTTGGGAGGGAAAGTTAGAAATGTTATCTTCGAGCTCTTTCCCTACACACTGGCAGTATCTTGAGGAACTTGAATGTGCCTTTGATTTTCCCGATCCTTCTCGATCCTCTCAGGAGTTTTCCAGGTCTAAATCTGTTCTGGTAGGCTTGTTCCTAGTCATTGAACTGGGGCTTTCCTGCTCCCTCTCCACCCAGCAGCTCCTCTGTCAATTCGTTAATGGCTGCCAACTCAAACTGGGAGGCACCAGGGGAGTCGATGAGGGAGCTAGGAAGATCGGTCAATCTTGCTGTTTGTAGTCTTGGCTCCCTGGGAAGGGAGGATCCTCTCAGGACCCAGAGATCAAGGGCACTAGGAAGAAAGCTCCTGACTGCTCACTTTCCCACACCAACCAAGTTACCTGACTTTCTTTGATCAACTAACTGGGGATAAGAAGGGAAGGGAATGCCATTCAGATAGTAAAGGTATTTCTGGAGCTCTGAGGATTGAGAGCCAGGCCTGCCTGGAAAATGAATGGTGGATGTAGGAAGACACGAATGCTCTCAGACTTGCGTCGCTAAATCTGCTCATCTCTGCCTATACGACACGGAGAGAGGCCAGGCTGGGGCTAGAGCCAAGGCCGCAGAGGTGAGAAGGTAGAAGGCTCCCGCTGGGGTCATCTGAGCGGGTGAGAGACTTCCAGCCCCACCCCCTCAGTGAGTGAGATCTGATCTCAGGGCATGACTTCCAGCTAGTGCAGTAAAAGAGTAAGCCTGCCAAGCGACTGTAGACAGGGCCATCTGAAATCTCCATCTGGGTTCCTGTGAACACAATGCCAGTTTTCCTTACAACCCATGAAAGCCTTCACTTCTTCAAGCTCCGTCAATGCCTCCTTCCCCATAGGATGGTCAAGATGAAGAAGAAATTAGTTTATCAGCCAAGGGTGAGGGCAGGTGACAGAGGTGGCCTAGAGAGGGATTGGATTCGAGTTCAGGGGCATCCAGGCTAAGGAATGTGCCCTGGGGGGATTTTGCCAGCCCAGGGGAGCTCCGGGTCACAGTCTTGTCTGCCAATCTGATGGCTGGCTGCCACTAGATCAGTAGTGGGCTGCTGATTAGCCAAACTTAAACTTGGGTGTAAACCAAGGCAGCTCCTCACCTGGCGGTGAACTTTTGGTTTCCAAGCTGGTCACAACTTGGAGGCGAGGGGCATGACTGGCATCTAGTGGGTAAAGGTCAGGGTTGCTTCTACACCTTACACGTGTGCACGAGTATAACTTTCCCCTAGGAGAGAATGAGACACCCAAAGAAATCCCCTTGGAGCCCTGCTGGCCCCTGGAGCAGAGATACAGGCAGCAAGGTGGCAAATCTCCCGAGCTCAGCCTTGATGCTGAAGGTCAGGCCTCATCTGGTCTGCAGGCCCTGGGCCCGACACGTCCATCGCCAGGCCATG